CAACTACACTTCAACTTGACTTAAGGGGATTTTTGGGATAGACCCAGACAACAAAAATACTGAAGGGTCATTGCCACAGGAACCAATCATGTGCTTAACTTTCAGTCCCACTTTCACTTGACCTCCATGGAGGGAAGGACTGTCACTCAAGTGGATTACTGGTATAATCATCCATGCCCACCTAAAGAAGACTTCATAGAACTGCCACCCCAAAGTATGGGGCTCAGAGGGATTTTCTTGTCTGTGAACAAGAATACTCTCACATGCCAAGAAAATAGAGTACTCCAACTCCTGGAAAACAAGAGACTCTGGTTGGGGATCTCACTTTGCCTTTTATACCCTGGCATTCTTCTGGCTGTTATATGTGCCTTCAGAATACCATAATTGGTTGGTAAATGCACTCTAATGTATTTGCCTGGATTCTGTGAGCCATATAGCAAACTTAACAGCACAGGAAGGCATGCATTGTGGAAACTTCCAAATTACAGACGGCTAGCTAGTCAGAAATATAGACTGCAGCTTGAGCCATGTGATTGTTGCTAGAAGTGGGGGTGATAACACAGCTCCTCCATGTTGCCAGCATTTCCAACATTTACTTTAAAAATAAAATGTTGGCAAAGAATAACACACACTTGCACACAGTTGTTTGCAGAAAAATGGATGCAGTTAGAAATAATCAGATTAACATAATTGTGTCATTCTCAGAAAGAATAATAACGAGTCTTCTCTTACTTGTGGATCCTTTATAGCTCTATAAACTGTGTATGTGCTAGTGTCATGAAATGAGAAGTAAAATTGTCTGGAGACAAATGAGAAGGTAGTTGGTCATGGGGGGTGTGCACCAAGAACATTGTATACTTGCATAAAAGTGACCTTATGTAGCACTATACAGTAATAATAAATAAAAATACTAAGACTCATCATGGATTCCAACAAGCCAAGCTAAAACCAAAATGGAGTCATGCATACTAAGTTTGTAGATGGATTGTAGATGAAGCCAAATTGCTCATTTGACTTTTTTTTGTGTATGTGGGTTCGAGACAGGGTTTCTCTGTGTAACAGCCATAGCTATCCTAGAACCAACTCTGGAGACCAGGCTGGTCTGCTTCTGCCTCCTGAGTGCTAGGATTAAAGGCTAATATTATGACTCAGTAATAGAATGCTTGCTTAGCATGTGTGAAGCCCTGGGTTCCTTCCCCTAGTTTCTCTGTCCCTCTGACTCTGTCTCTGTCTCTCTCTCTCTGTATGTGTCTGTCTGTCTCTGTCTCTGTCTCTGTGTGTGTTGTCTCTGTCTCTCTCTGTTTCTCTGTCTTTGTCTCTCTCTCTCTGTGTCTGTCTCTCTCTGACACACCACACACACACACACACACACACACACACACACACCCCAGAAAGCCAAGACTGATATTTTTCAGACAGGGTCTCATTTTGTAGCCCAGCTGATGTTAAACTTTAGATCAACTTTATAATGGTGGGATTACAGGTGTGTATTGCTACACTCAATCAGAAGTTCATTTGTGTGTGCTTGTATGTTCATTTAAATCAGGATTCCTGGACCAGTGGGAAGGGTTAGGGAGTAAGGGTGCTTGTCACCAAACCTGACAGACAACTTGAGTTCAATCCCCTATTCCTAGAACCCATATAATGAAAGAAGATAACTACTCCCACAGGTTGATGTCTGACTAGCTGTGTGCAATGCGGTGCATGCACGAGCACACACACACACACACACACACACACACACAAATAAATGTGATAAATTTAATAAATCTAGATTCCTATAAGAGAACAAACATGATTGTCATTCCCCTCCCCACTACTATCTCTTGTCTTTCCCCCTTTCAAGTCCTCTTTGACTTTCATTGCTCTTTAATGTTTGACAGCCACCTGACCTAAAAACAGACTCTTGGGACATTAGCACTGTGAAACAATACCCACCCTCCACCCACCCTCAAATGGATAAGTCTAACTGCAATCAAAATTGCAAACAACTGGTGTAGCTAGGAACAGCATGGGGCTGGGAGTGGAGGTCATTCTCCACCCATCCCTTTCTTAGATAGAGATTTCTCATTGGTGGGATTGATTCCCAGAGGCCAATCACGGAGCTTGGGTGGGAACACAACCACTTTTAAGAGTGCATTCCCACACCTGTAGCACTGGCAGCCTGAGTAGATGCTGGCCTTGGAGAGGTGAGCCACAGTCCATTAGCTATTTACTCTTTTGCGGGGATGTCTCTGTGATTTCCTCCCCCTTTCTGTGAATATTTGGATGTCTTGCCAGGAAGAATTATGAGGTGTGGGGTTTGCACTCAAATTTGATTCTTTGAACCGGGTCTCGTGTAGCCCAGACCGGCCTTCAATTTGCCCCGCAACTAAGGATGTCTTTGAACTGATCCCCCTGTCTAGCATGCTGACATTACAGGCTTGTACCTGCACTCAATTAATGCAGCATTTTGTGCATGCTAGGCAAGCACTTAGCCAACTAAACCTCATGCCAAGTGCTCAGAACTTCTCTGTGCAAAGGTTGTGGTGGACTTGAAGGAACCCTCTCCAATGACTCCTTCTAAGACTTCCAACAGCTTTTCCTCTGCTGGAACCCAGGTCCAGGATAAAGATGATGGTTCAGAAACTTAGAGACAGGTGTGGTGTTGAGCACTGCAAGAGTGTGGTTCCAGGGTGCCTTTCTGTTCTGAGGGGATTTAGAGCACAGACGTAACAAAACTGCAACACCTAAGTCTACCAGGTGTCATGCCACACAGGGGATTGAGCCTGCAAAATGCTGTGGTTTTGTTCAGAGAGATCCCTCTCCCCCCTTTCCCCTTTCCTTATCCCATACTTTTTTGTTACAGGGTCTTGCTGTAGTCCAGGCTAGCTCAAACTCAAGGCAATCTTCCTGTCTTAGCCTCTTGAGTACTGGACTAATAGACAAGATCCACCATGCCTTGCTAAGCATCTCCCCTTAACAGAAGATATCACACTTTGTTTATAGAGGTTATATAACATTTTGAAGTCATTTTAGTTTAGCTTCAGGATTAAATCTATGATGATCTGCCCAGTTACTGTTGCACAAGATTTACATTTGTCTCCTGGATGCATGTGCAATCCTGCCTGTCATTCAATATATTTCCAGATCAGGCATTGTCAGTGCCTCCTTAAACACACTGAGGCTCATTTAAGCTAGTGTAACTTTCCACTTAAATTGCGTGTATTTGACTCACCTGGGCACAGCAGCCAACACTGAGCACAGCCTAAGTAGCAGGTGTAATTTACCCAACCACCCCAGAAGGATTCCTCAGGAGTCCAGCACAGGGAGCTGCCCTACTTCCCCACACCTTGTCAACAGCCAGTTGACACAGGAGAGAGGGAAGCAGGAGTTTGGGCATCACTGCCTGGAGGTCTCAGTGAGCTTTCATATCAACTGAAGTCTGTACCATGTACCTCTGCAAATGCAGACAGCTACCCACTCCTGTACCCAGTACATGCTCATACACCACTGCAAGCTACCTTTATTTTTCTGTAGTATTTCTGCAGGGAAGGCATTTGGTAGGGACCTAGTCAAAAGGCAAAGAAGGACCTCCTCACTTATGTCATAGAGAATATCATTGAGATGGTCAATTGGGTACAAAAGTCCAGTTATTTAGAGTAAGAAAGTCCTGGGACTCAATGTATATGTGATTACACTTACTATATGGAAAATTTAAATTGATATTTATATTGAATTTTAAATGTTCTTAACACAGAACTAAAAATTAGTTGTCTTCAACAGAATCTCACTGGTTATAGAACCCCATATAAGGGCAGGCCAACACAAAACAAACTCATTGTAATTTGGGTGGCTTTTTTATGTAATAATGCTTTTATTTTGTTTTTATTTGCTAATCTTTTGCTTATAGGCTATTGTTTCTGGTTTTGTGTTTTTTAAATAGGAGTTCTGTGTTCCTAATGTGCCTGTCTCTGCATCAATTGTTTCTTATGTATTTTCTTTGGGTTTGTTTGCTTTGTCCTATTCTGGTTTTATTTTTATTTTATTTTATATTAATCTTACTTTTATAAGTGCTTCTTTCCTAATGAGAGAAAGGAAGGGTATGGATATTGGTGGGTTGGGAGGTGGGAAGAATCTGGGAGGAGTTGGGAGAGGGAAAACCATGATCAGAATGTATTTTATGGGAAATGTAGTTTCCATTTTCAAAAGATAATGCAAATACACTTGAAATGTTCTTACTATAAAAGTACTTTGAGGTCATGGGCATGTTTAGCAATTTGGTTATAATATTCCAGTTTATATGTATATTCAACTACATTATCCAATATGAATATTACATTTTTGATGATTACTCCTCAGTAGAGCTGAGGGGGAATGAATGAAATAATACAAGGTACATATGTTCATATTTAATGTGAACAAGTGAATGAACTTAGAGATAAGCATATACACCCTCAAGCCATCAGTCAGCAGAGGCTATATCATGAGTACAGCCATCCCTTCTAAATGAAGAGGTTTGAAAATCCATGTATGTTGTCTGTAAAGCTACTCTTCTCCCAGATCAGGGGCAAATGACAATAACTTGCTGTTCAACTGAGTGTCAAGAGATTTTCAATCCAAGTTCCTCTTTAATATTGTTAATACTTAATGCCTGCTACAGGAAATTAATCTTGAGGGTCTTGGGCTTTTTGAAAACTTGCAACCACAGCCTCTGTTTTGTTTCTATTCTCACTTAGAGTTTGTTCTCCGGTGGTTTGTCTGTAAATATTTACACATGCTTTCACTTCTCACAGATTAAAAACTCTACCTTACTCCATAAACGCCATAAGGTAACTACATATCAGGTTGTTATGGAGACTTATGATATAGATTTTATCAGCTTATTAGTACACTAAGCTTAAATGAAATCAATGATCTCCTAGGAGCAGAAGATGTGGTATTGTAGACTTCTAATGTGACTTAAGAGTCTTGCATGTTTTTCAGAGTGTCACCTGGCAGTAGGACCACGATATAATCCTGGTATATGAGCTAGCCTGTTAGAGCCCATTCCCTATGGTGAGATGCATGTTGACTCCTCATGGGAGCCATTACCTATGAGGAGGAGTGGACAGGTGGTGGACTAGGGGAGAGGTGAGGGAAGGCGAGAGGAGGTGAGGGAGGGAGAACTGTGGTTGAAATGTAAGATGAATTCAAAAAATAAAAACTGAAAAAAAGTATGGCACGTTTTCAAAGGGACACAGACTCTCACCTTAAATTTAAGTCAAGGAATGGAACTCTATGTGAAATTAACTATTCCTGGGAATTTGCTCTTTTTTTTTTAAATTTTATTTTCCAGTTTAAATTTGGATAAGAAACAAGGTTGCTTCACAAGTCAGTTCCAGGTCCCTCTCCCATTCCCTCCCTTCCTCCCGAGCCCCCCCCCCCGTTATCCCCTCATTTCCCCAGGGAGGGTGAGGCCCTCCATGGGGGTGTGCATAGTCTGTCATTTCATATAGGGCAGGGCCTAGACCCTTCCCCAAGAGTTCGGGGTGAAAGTGCACCTCACATTGTTCTATGGGAGTCCAAAGTCCGTGTGTATACTTGGGATGGGTACTGATCTGCTGCCCAAGGCTCAATAGATTCCCTAGGCCTCCTCACTGACACCCAGATTCAGAGGGTCTTGATCAGTCCCATGCTGGCTTCCCAGGCTGATGCCTGGGATTCAAGAGTTAACCTTTGTCTGGTCAGCTGTTTCTGGGGTTAAACCAGCCCAGTCTTAATACCTTTGATCATCAGTCCTCCCTCTCTGTTACTGGCTTTCTTGAGTTCAGCTCAGTACTTAACCAAGGGAGTCTGCCTCTTCTTTGATCAGCCACTAAATAAAGTTTCTATTTCCCAGACTCTCTGGCCATAGGATTGAAGGCTGGCACTCCCCAGATCTATGTCTAAAATCCATATATGAGAGAGTACATGCCATGTTTCTCTTTTTGTGACTGGGTTACCTCACTCAGGATGGTTTCTTCTAGTGTCATCCATTTGCCTGTGAATCTCATGATTCCATTATTTTTTTCTGCTGAATAGTACTCCATTGTGTAGATGTACCACATTTTCTCTATCCACTCTTCAGGTGAGGGACATCTAGGTTGCTTCCAAGTTCTGGCATTTTTTTTTATTTTTAAGTTTGAATTTAGATTAGAAACATGGTTGGTTCACAAGTCAGTTCCAGGTCCCTTTCCCTCCCTTCCTCCCGTGCCCTCCCCCCAACTCCCCCATGGGAATTTGCTCTTGAAGGAGCAGAATTGACTGTGTTGATAGCTCTGCCATGGCAGCAAGGTCACCAGTGAGAAAGCTGACCCTTTCCATTTCTTCCCATAGTTCTGTTGAGCTGGAACTTCAGACCTTACCTGTGGCTCAGGATGAGAAATCCCAGGAAGCAGCAGTTCACTATGAAGGACATCTTGAAAACTCTGACCCAGGCTGAGTTGAGCAATTTCAAGAGTGTCCTGAAAAACTGGTTTCTGCCACATACACTGAAACAGATCCCCCAGATGGCACTGAACATGGCTGATGCAGATCATGTGGTAGAAATTCTCCATGAGTACTGTCCTAGTGATTGGATAGAGATAATCATCAAGGAGGTCTTACAGACGATAAACCAGTTGGATAAAGCTGAGTTAGTAAGGAAACAACTTGAAGGTAAGCAGAGACCATTCTTTACTGTGTCCTAGAAAAGAGAAATTGTCTTAAAGGTTCTGAACATGTAGAAATAGGTCAGACATGATGGATGGCACCAGAAAGCCCAGGGCTGGAGTGGTAGGGCCAAAAGGATTGTTTTGAGTTTTAGGCCAGGCTATGCTGTATGGTAAGTTGCTGTCTCAAAAATAGGAATGCTGAGGAGATATCTCAGTTAAGAGCTTGCCATGAAGACATAAATACCTGACTCTGATCCTCAGAATTCATTATTTTTTTTCAAAAAGGCGAAGCATTATAGCATGCATGTAATCCCAACACTGGAAAGGTGAAGATAGGAAGATCCCTGGGGCCAGCCTGCCTAGCCTACTTGCTGTTGAACTCTTGACCAATTGGAGATTCTTGCCTCAGAAATCAAGGTGCATGGTGCCTGAAGGTTGTCCATTTACCCATACACACACAAAGTCACACACCTGCATTCTGGCACCCGGGTACTCTCTTAAACAAGCTCTCATACTCAAATCCTCACTCTCTCTCACTCTGCCTCACTTCCACATCCCCGTTTTGTACACTCATTCTCACATTTCCATTCTCATTCTGACATTCTTACACTCTCACTTTCTCACACTCTCACACAGACACACACAAACACTCACACAGACTATCTCTCATATATGTATGTATACCCTCCCTCACCTCTCCTCCACACACAAACAAAACAATTTTGTTTGTTTTCGTTTGCTTGAGACAAAGTTTCACTATGTAGCCCTTACTGTCTTGGAATTCACTATGTAAACCAGGCTGGCCTTGAAATCAAAGAGATTCACCTACCTCTGCCTCCTGAATGGTGGGATTAAAGGTGTGTGCCACAATGACCAGCTTCAGAAAACATTTTTAAAGAAAATTGCAGAAATAGCATTGAATTTATTAAGGATGCCTATTTGGGCAGCAAATGCTACAGTTTAATTGTAGGGAACACCTTTCTGGGTTTTATTACCCTTCCAAGGAATATTAGGGTGTTACATATTTACAGGACCCCTCCTCACAGTCGTCTTAAATTGATGTTACTTATGTAGCATTTATGATCCCATTCTTTTGTATTTGAGTCTTCATTTTGTGATTTTTTAAAAAATTAGTATGTATTTTTAATGGTGCTTCTGAAAAAGAAGACATTTGCATCGTTCAGAACCCAGACCAGAGAGGGGTTACAACTCTCTTTATGGGCTGACTTTTAGGGAGGTAGCAAGTTGTTTTCTGAATGCATTTGAGGCTTGCCCTACAGGAGGGAGTTCAGCTCTGGTTCTGAGCTTATAGACTCTAGAGGTGTGTGTGTGTGTGTGTGTGTGTGTGTGTGTGTGTGTGTGTGTGTGGTTTGAATGAGAATGATTCCAGTGAAATCTTGTTGATGACCAGCTTTCTGTGGACTTCTTGGTGTGCAAACTGAGACCCTGAAATTGTAAGGTTGTCCCACCAAGCCTTCTCTCTGGCTCCATAACTCACCTATGCATGACTCAATGTTTAGCTTCAAATTCTTCTTTCATTGAGACACACACTATCCTGTCCTGTGTTTATTCATTCCAGACTCCAGGAATTTCCTCCACAAGGCTTATTAATGCCTTTAGGAATGACATTATGTGTCTGTTGCTTATACCATGAAACATCACATTCTGTGTAACACTTTGGTCAGTGGTGGGACACATAAGATGGTGGTCCCATAAGATTATAATGGGACTGGAAAGTTCCTCTCAGATGACTTGGATGACATCAGAGACAGTTTAACATGACAGTGCAAAGAGTACCTCATGTGTTAGAGGTGGTTCTGGTGCATGTAAACCTATAATATTACTAATAGAATTAAAGTATAGAATGTACACTTATGCACAGTGCCATGACACTTGGTAATGAATTTATCATGCTGTCCATTTTATCCATTTATCCCTTTATTTTATTATTATTATTATTTTATCTTCTACCTAGAAAAGGGTGTGCTCTGGCATAAGCAAACCTACATGTCTATGTGTACAGAGTTGTGGTTTCAGAAGCCAGAGGTCGATGCCTACTGTCTTCTGTTGTTCTCTACCTTATTCCTTTGTTTTTATTTATCATTCTCATTTTTTATTCCTAGAGAATTTCCTATATTTTGGTCACCCACCCTCTCACCCAAACTTCTCCCAGATCCATCTGCCCTTCCTTACACACTCAAATCATGCCCTTCTTTTAACCCATCAAGTAAAGCTGGTGCTAGCCATATACTCTGAAATATATGGTCTCCAACTGGAACACAATGAACCTACCAGGAACCATGCCCTTAAAGAAAATTAGTTCTCTGTTTCTCCTCAGCTATCAACTGCTAACTGCTTCTTAGCTAGAGGTGGGATTCTGTGTTCATCTCTCCTCTCCCTGATGAATTTTATCTAACCCTTTTGATTCTGCCTCCACCACAGTGAATTCATATGCAACTGCCCTGTTCTGTCCAGAAAAAATTTCCATGCACCAACTGTGACTCTTTCAAACTTCCCACCTACTCTCATTGCAATGATCCCTAAGCCTTGGGAGGGAAAGGATATGTTAATAGGTGACCTATGTAGGAATGAACACAGTCTTATTCTCTGTGCCTTGGTCACTTGTTCTGTGTCAGTTACCATCTACTACAAGAACTAGTTTCTCTGATAAGGGTTGACTATTGTGTTAATCTATGTCATTTTCCACGCATTAATGTCATTTTCTGAAATGAAGTCTGGAGTTGCCAGTTTGACTAAACTGTCTGTCCAGTGAGCCCCTGTCTCCATCTCCCCAGCACTAGGATTACATACAGATGTATGCTTCTGCACCATAAATAGGTGCTGGGGATGAGAACTTGGTTCTCCATCCTCCCCCAGCATGCACTTTAACAACTGAATCACTTCCTCAGTCCTTTACAAAACTTCTGTAAAGTGATCTGCAATATTATTGTAATAAGGAACTGGGGAAGATGTTTCCAGGTTCTTGACCTCACACCCAAAGAATTAAAAATAGTGAATTATTACAGATTTGCAAAATTATCATACAGAAGAATGAATCCTCAAGATTGACAGCAGGCAGCATGAGTGTTCAAGAGCCCTAATTTTTTTCTCATGGCTTCCTTTTATGGGGCTCAAGAGAAAGAAGTGCTGGGTTACTAAGGGGTGCAGTTTGAATGGTTCTGCTTTGATAAATTAGATCATGTTTGTTTTTCCTACTGTATATTTCCCTTAACATAATGCATCTGATTCTAATCATATGCATACCCAATTACATATTGGCATTTGATGATACATAGGGAATTCTTCCTAAAAGATAACTATTAGAGGACAAAGTTTTGCCTCCCTGCTTATGACCAAAAACCAGTTCAGGCCAAATCAGCCTTCATACCTAGATACATCGGGAATACACTTGAATAGAGACTGTATAAATTTCACTATTATCTTGGGTGATGAATCATCTTGTTCAGATGTGGTATTGCATAGCCTGATATAGGTAGGGGGCAGAGGTTTATGAGGATGCAAAGTGAAGTGTTTGGAGGCAGATGTATTTAAACAGTACATTCAGGTAAAGGATCTAGCCACCCAAGAGCATCGTTACAGAGGGTGGTATGCATAATCCAAAAGTAAATGGGGGCTCCAGGGCACTAGATTTGCCTGCCTCCATGTTACAATAGAAGCAGCTTTGACTGTCTCATGTGGAACTACCAAATCTCTTGATTACATCAAGAGGCTGTGTTATATGATTGGCTTGCAACTGCAAGACTCATGTGAGAATAGTCCCTGGTGTACCAGATCCCACAAAACAACCTAATGATGCATTTCTCCAAATGAATCCCCTCCTTAAGCAACCCATGAATGCCTCCTAAGCTGTGCTGGAATTCTCTTACCTGAAAAGGAATTATCATTCCAAGTCAGAAGCTGATGTACTTACATTTATGCATCCAGTGTCTCCTTAATATTCTCTGGGTATAGAATGCTGATGCTTGTTGGTTAAAGTTATGCTGTCTCCAAGCCCTGCTGTTTCCAGGTCATGGCTTTCATATAATGATAAATGAAAGAGGTCTCTCTTCTTTCAGGAAACACAATTAGCTCACCAGGTTCCATGAAGCCAACTGCATTTGGAGCTGAAAGTCCAGGTTAGTGTTACAACATTCACTGTTAATGTAAGGTAAGAAAAGTTCCTTCTGAAACTCCAATATCTCCCCTATCATGTTCCCTCTATCATTTTGTTTTGATAGCTTCATACATGAGCACTGTTTCTATTTCACTCCAGCCTGTCCCTCCCCACCTCCAGCTCCTCCCTGTTCCTTCCTTTCCCTCTCTAATTTATGATCTCTTTAATAATTTTTGTATTCTCCCAGCTCGAAATCAAATAATTATTTTAATATTTTTAGTATTATGTCATATAATATATACTGACCCCAACACCCCTGCCCTCCACTTCCCCCAGTTTTTTTTCTACCTCACCTCTCCTGAAGATTCACTCCTCAACTTCCCTTCAGAAAGGTGCATGCATCCCAGTGATTTCAACCAAACAAGACATAACAAGGTACAATAAGACTAGGCACAAACCCTCTTTATCAAGGCTGGACTAGGCAACCTGGTAGGAGGTTCCATGAGTGCTACTTCACTTTCTGTAAGCCCCTATGATTCCTACTTAGTTGATTTTTGTGGGCTGTGTTTCCTGGTGTCCTCAACCTCTCTGGCTCCTACAATCCTTCCTTGCCCTCTCCCACCAGGTTCCTTTTGAGCTCTGCTTAGTGGGGGCATCTCTGAATCTGCTCCCATCAACTTCCAGAGTAACTCTCTCTGGTATTGATTGGGCTAAGCACTAATGTATGAGTTAGGAAACATCTCACTTACATTTTTTCAGTCAGTTGTGTTCGGTTCTTCCCTAGGTCTTTGAGCCATGCAGCTTTGGGACTGCCACCCAGGCACTGTTGGGCATGGAGTCCCTCTTGTGGCATGGGTCTCAAGTTAGACTACTCATTGGTTGTTCATTCTACTAAGCTCTGAGCCACCAATGCCCCAGCACATCTTGAAGGCAGGACAGATTGTGGGTCTACTGGGAGCTTTGTGAGGTTACCAGAGATGGCTAGTTCAGGTTCTATATAACTAAGAGCCCTATCTAGAGTCATCTTCATAGGTTTCAGGTAGTTTCCACTACACTAGGTTTCTATATAGCCCTCCAAAATTCCTCCCCATTTCACTAATCTCTTCAGTACTCCTTCCTTCCATTCCTCCATTCTTCCCTCCCTGATTCCCTCCTGTTCCCATCCCCACTTGCCCCTCAAGACACCCACAAAATCTATTCCATTTCCCCTTACCAGGAAGATCCATGTGTCTGCCCACTAGAGTCCTCCTTGTTACTTAGCCTCTCTGGGTCTATGTATTGAAATGTGTTTTCTTTGACTGTTAATATCCACTTATGAGTGGGTACATATTAAGTTTGTCTTTCCGGGTCTGGGTCTCTTTGGATAATTCTTTCTAGTTCCTTCCATTTGCCTGCAAATTTCATGATGTCATTTTTTTAAAGAGCTGAGTAATAACTTGATTGCGTAAATGCCACATTTTCTTTATCCATTCTTTGGTTGAGGAACATCTAGGGCATTTTCAGTTTCTGGCTATTATGAGTAAAGCCATTATGAACATAGTTGAGTACATGTCCTAATGCAAAATGGAGTATCCTTTGGGTAAATTCCCAAGAGTAGTATACCTGGGTCTTAAGGCAGATTCATTCCCAATTTTCTTAGGAGCTACCATATTGACTCCCGCCAGCAATGGAGTATTCCATTGTTCCACATCTTCTCCACTGCCACTGTGTTACTGATCTTAGCCATTCTGACAGGTGCAAGATGAAATCTCAAAATGATTTACATTTCCCTGATGGCAAAGGATATTGAACATATCATTAGGTGTTTCTCAGACATTTGCAGTTCCCCTCTTGAGAGTTCTCTATCTAGATCTGTGCCCCATTTTTAATTGGGTTATTTGGTTTGTTGACATCTATTTTTTGAGTTCTTTATATATCTTGGGTAATAGTTCTCTATTGAATGTGGAGTTTGTGAAAATCTTTACCCATCCTGAAGGCTTCTATCTTGTCCCATTGACGGTGTCCTTTACCTTACAGAAGCTTTTCAGTTTCATGATGTCCCATTTATTATCAGTCTTAGTGCCTGCACTATTCATGTTCTGTTTAGGAAGCTGTCTCCTGTGGTGATGCATTAAAAATATGTCCTATTTTCTTTTCTAACAGGCCCAATGTGTCATGTTTAATTTTGAAGTTTTGGTCAACTTAGACATGAGTTTTGTCCAGAGTGATAGATATGGATCTATTCGCATTCTTCTGCATGCTGATGTCTAGTTAGACCAGCACCATTTGTTGAAGATGCTTTCTTTTTTCCATTGTTTATTTCTGGCTTCTTTATAAAAAATCAGGTGTTGCTAGATGTGTGGAATCATGTCTGGATCTTCAATTCTATTCCATTGATAAATGTGTCTATTTTATGCCAATTTCATGTGATTTTTACTATTTTAGTTCTGTAATACAACTCAAAACCAGGGAGGGGGATAACTTCAGAAGTTCCTTTTTTTTTTCAACAAAAAGACTTTGTTTTCTAAGAGCAAGCTTATACTGACCTGATAGGAAGCAGCAGAGCTGGAACAGGGTTTGTTTTTGTCATATGACACAATGCAAGCCAATCTCAGACTGTATTCTGCCACATGTATAAACATTTATTTGTAGTTAGGCATCCCCTAAATCACCCGTGACTCTAGGTTGAGGAGTACCTGCTGTGTCCTGTAGGACTGTTGTGATCAGGTACACTGGGCTCTCTGATGGAAAAGTTGCAACCCCCATCCCAAGCTTAGCCTGTTTATTACATATCAGTCCAGTAGGGAGGTGGGTTTGTTGCATACAGCTGAACAAGGAGAAAGGGTTATAACATCCAGTTGACCAGGGATGCAGTTTAGCTAATTCAGTAGGATCATTCTGTGGAGGGGAGCTGTCTTTTTAGAAATTCTTTTATCATTCAGGATTGTTTTAGTTATCCTGAGTTTGTTGGTTTTCCACATGAAGTTGAGAATTGCCCTTTCAGGAGCTGTACACTTGTGTTGGAATTTTGATGGGGATCATGTTGAATCTGTAGATTGCTTTTGGTAAGATGGCCATTTTTACTATGTTAATTCAGTGGATCCATGGGCATGTGAGACCTTTCCATCTTTATATTTTCCTCAATTTCTTCAAATACTTGAAGTTTTTTGTCATGTCTTTCACTTGAATGATTAGAGTTACTCCAAGATAATTTTATATTGTTCGTGGCTATTGTGAAGGGTGTTGTTTCCCTGATTTCTTTCTCAGTCTGTCACTTGTATAGGAGGGCTATTGATTTTTTTGGTAATTAATCTTGTATCCAGCCACTTCACTGAAGTTGTTAATGAGCTGTAGAAGTTCCCTGGTAGAATTTTGGGGTCACTTATATATACACTATCATATTATCTGCAAGTGAAAAATGAAATGCATTGACTTCTTCCTTGCCAATTTTTATTCACTTGATCTCTTTCAGCTCTCTTATGGCTCTAGCTAAAACTCCAAATACTATATTGAACAGATACGGAGAGAGTCCTTGTCTTTTTTCCTGATTTTAGTGGAATTGATTAGAGTTCCTCTCCATTCAAATGTCCTTTAACATGTTTCAATATGTCTCTTGTATCCTTTATCATGAAAAGGTGTTGAATTTTTAGCAATAGAATTTTTGGCATCTGGTGAGATCAACATGTGGTTTTTCTTTCAGTTTATATGGTGGGTTACATCTACAAATTTTCATATGTTGCAGCATTTCTGCATCTCTGGGGTGAAGCCTACTTTGTCATGGTAGATGTCTTTTGGAAGTGTTCGTGGATTAAATTTGAAAGTATTTTATTGAGTATTTTTGAATCAATGTTCATAAGGAAACTGGTCTGTAATTCTTTGGATCTGTGGTTTGGGTATCAGGGTCACTGTAGTCTCTTAAAATGAATTTTGCAGTGTTCTTGATGTTTATATTTTATAGAATAACTTGAGGGGTACTGGTATTAGCTCTTATTTGAAAGTCTGGTAGAATTCTGCGCTAAAACCACCTGGAAGTCAGCTTTTTTTTTTTGAGACTTTTAATGGCAGCTTCTATTTACGTGGGGGTTATGGGTCTTTTAGGTTAATCTTTATTTAACTTTGGTAAGGGTTATCTATCAAGAAAATCATCTATTTCTTTTAGATTTTTGAAGTTTGGAGTATGGATTTTTTTAAAGTATGGCCTGGTGATTCTTTTTTCTGTGTCTGTTATGTCCCCCTTTTCATTTCTGATTTTGTTAGTTTGGATATTCTTTCTACCTTTTAGTTAGTTTGGGCAAGAGTTTGTCTAACTTGTTTTTTCTCAAAGAACCATTTTTTTTGTTTCAATGATTGTTTGTATTCTTTTGTTTCTATTTTGTTGATTTCAGGCTTCAGTTTGATTATTTTCTGCCATCTACTTCTCTTGGATGTGCTTGCTTCTTTTGTTCTAGAGCTTTTGAATGTTCTATTAAGTCACTAGTATGAGATCCCTTCAATTTTTTATGTAGGTATTATTGCTATGAACTTTCCTCTTACCACCACTGAGATCTGTATTATTGTTGCATGTATATGTACATGTGTATATGCACACATGTATTTACAACATACTAAATTCATTTAGCATTGGTTATATGTACATGTGCAACAAGATGCCCACTTGGGATTGGATAACTTAAAAGAACTGATTTCTTCACTTGGTAGCCATTAACCACCTGTAACTTTTCATCTATATATGGGGCCATATGGAATTTCATCTCTACATTGGCATGTCAACTGGTGTTGTCATTATGTTATATAGTGAGATATCCCTGCAGCCCCCACCCCGTCCCTGTAGCACTGACCACACCCCGTTTGGGCGTGGAATGTGACAGAGGGTAAGTCTAGGTTTGGGGAACTGACCCCAGCTCGACCTTTTCCTGCTGGTTAGGTCACAGAGAGCAGCCTGAGTGGATCCTTGGAGTGGGAACTTGTGGCGGCCATCTGTTTCTTGTGTAAGTGCCTTCTCCCCAAATAAAATTAACTTTTATTGAATGTAGTTCCGTGAAT